TATATATATATATATATATATATATATATATATATATATACTAATTAGTTACACGGAAATTAATAATAAAGGTCACATTTTGTTGTAATTGTTAGGGATTAGCCTTTCCGAATGATATACTGGAGAAAAATAATAAATAAAATAAATAAAAATAAATACACGCAAGCCGAGTCACTGCTGGCAACAACGTTGACTTTATATAGTAACAAAGTTTATGATAATAACATATGAACAAAATATATGCGATACCTTAGAATATTCACAAAAAAAAATATTTTTTTTGCAAACACGAAACTTATGGAGCCGCTTTGTGGTGAACTATCAGAATCAATGCCACACACAGAGAGCGACGTGACGAAACTGAATGAAACAAATAAAGCTGCTCCAAACAGACAGAACAATATTTTATATAATAAACAATGTCCATCTATTCGTTTAAAATGTAAATGTATTTTGTTAAATTATACTCCTAAACATTTGCCACTCAGTAAAGGCTGTTTAGTCTCTGGTCAGTTTCTTAACTTAAACTGTGAGTGTTTTGTGCTCACCTGAATTATTAATAGTTTCTAGAGCGCCTGCGTGTTCCACTGGACTGCAACCTTCTCCGGCATTTTAGTCTTATTCAAAATATCCCAAATAAATTACTTTAAAGTGCATTTCTGAAACAACTCTAGGAAAAGTACAGCTAGATCTGTTGTATGTTAAAGAGATGAGGTGTGTTTACCTTGGCCCTCAACGCTATCTGTGATTTTCATCTCCTGGTCCTGGTCCACATTGAAAGGATCGCCCTGGCTCCCTCTTTTGGGTAGGTTCGGATCCTGGGCAGCGGCGCATTGTCCGTTTCGCACAGCCGATGGGTCCACAATAGTCGGATTGGGAACAGGGCATGGATCAGAAGTCGTACTGTCTGGCATGTTTGTTTGCTTTCTTCTTTTCTGAAATCAGATGAAGCCCTCAATATATGATCTCACGTCGAACTGCGACGCGCAGCCATCCAGTGGCAGCATTAAGGGTAGCGGAGCAGAGATGCGGAGATAAACGCAATCTGCCCAGCATCAGCAACGGACCCCCACCCCACTCCACCCTCCCACCGAGAACAACTCCAGTCCGAGCGCAAGAACTGCAGCCACCCAAACTGTAATTTGACATGGGGATGAGTAGGCTATGCGTCGCTTTCTATAGTTTCAGCATATCTTGACTTTTGCACATCATCTGATTTTAGGCGATAAAGCACAGTAGGCTAGTAGATTTAAGAAAGTGACTTAAGAAACGATCTTGTCAAGTGTCAAAGTCATTTATACCTGCCACAAATAGCTGTCTCCAACCTTCAGTCAGATAATGACAAACGTAACCCGAAACGGGTTCGAATTGGTCGCATGAGTTGACCAAATGAAAGCTGCTTGGTTTTGAAAGTGGATTCTGTGTGAAGGGTGATACACATCTCTACACTAGGCTATACTGACAATGGAAAGTGGACCTTTTTTTGCCCGAAACTGAAATTTCGCTAAAGTGGCCGCGCATATTGGCTATTGATTCTCAGCATAGCCTACCTCCAAAACAATTAAGCGCCAAGCTTTTGCATGCAACCAAGCAACAGACAGGACTCAAATCGAGTGAACGGAGGAGCGACAGTAACGTTTTCCTTCCCTGCTCAAACCGCTCTGTAATCTCTTTGGCTCATGATCCAGTCCGGGGTTTCCATTTCCTCACTAGAGAAAGAAACCCGCTTCGAGCGATCATCAACATGGTTCGGTTTTTGTCGTTCCATTGTCGCACATAACATAACAACTTTCGTTAACTCTACAATAAGTAAATCCACTTCACCAGCTAATTACTTCATGCTATATAGAGCTAGCGTTACCGCAAAAACTGAAGTTCAAAGACAGAATTGGCTGCGCGCTTGTTTCTCTTACGAAAGCTACCAACCGATTAGCATAGGCTATCAGCCGGCTGCATGTAATTTTGGCGCATATTTTTATTTTATTTTTTGACTGAGAATTGAACCAGTTTTCTTAAAAGTAGAATTTTGCTGTTACGTTATCAAACTGATTAGTCACATATCAACTATGCTATTTTTAGTTTATATATTTTAAACTCTACAAAACGATATTCGATATTATTCGCATATGTGGCAATCAATAAAGATGAACAAACTGTCAACAAACCGAGAAGGATTCCTGCCTGTAGCTTCTGGCGCCCCTACCTCCAGTAACCGCTAGAGGACACTGTTGTGCAGGATGTGAAGTAAATTGATAAGGCAGGGCAGATATTTCTTGAATTCATTGAAACACCCTTGAAAATGTTTATTACAGACAGCAGCAGTCTCTCCTTATATATGTTTAAACCTTATTTTTGTGTTTATTAATTTTTTTAACCATTGGTTTTAACCAAAAGTCTGCCATATATATTGCATAAGTTACAAAGACGTTAATTTGGTCAGTCAATTCATAAAATGTATACAGGTATGAATTCATGCAGACAAGTCATAAAAAGCTAATACTGCTTGCTGTGTCTCTTCTCAGGGGTTTTCATTGGGCCATTTCAAAAGACAGGACAGGGGTTGGAATGTTTGTTTTCTGTTTCACACACTGCTGAACATTCACAACTGCAGGAGGGGTGAACATTAAGTTTACAAGACTGTCAAGTCTTCAGGCCTACAATTTGAGCTCTTAATGTCAGCAGCATGAAGATTGATATTCATAATCATATTTTACCAAAGGAATGGCCCGACCTGAAACAGGTAGGTTGCTTAAGATATGAAAGTTACCTTTAAATAATGTGTCATAGGTTAGCCATGCAAGATTACCTGGCTCATAACATATTTGTCAACATTTTTACATTATTTCACTTGGACGTTGCCTTGCTTCTATAAACAGGCTACCAAATTGGATTTTGATATATTTTGGTCAGCTGTACATTTGTACTCTTTTCCTCAGCATTTAATATACAGGAAATGTCTAAATATAAAGAAAAAATCTGTATGTCCAATTTTAGATTATCAGATGTTTATGTTAACTGCTAAACCAAAAATGGTCTTTTCAATGCTAAAAGTGTTAAACAAGACACTACTTCAGGTTTACTCTTAAAATGTATGCATCTGTTAAACATTAATGAAAGGGTTTGATCACCAACCCTGACCTTTATTGCTTGCTTATCTGAGCAAGACTCTATTAATAATTTCTCATGTCTTAACATGCAAATAAAATCAACAATTATTTTCCATTAAAGTATATAAAATGTATTTATTTATATTTGCCATAGTAAAAGTGTAATACTATGATGTAAAATGGCATCTTAAAATTCACCTTAGCATTCTTTTCATGTTTCACAGAGATATGGATATGGCGGATTCATTCAGCTCCACCATCACTGCAAAGTAAGTTTAACATTCTAATACACCCTTTCCACACCTGATCATTGCTCATGGAGAAAATCAGCTCAGTCTGCAGTTTAGTGGGATGATGGTGCAAGAAGACCAGCTGGACGGAAAGGGTTCTGCATGCTTGGCCATAGATCCAGCTGGCATGATCTCTCGCGAGCTCTTCCAGAGAGAAAGCGTCAGTGTGTGAGAGTATGTTACGACCCCCATGAGGAATGAGTGGACAGCAGAGACAGATCTGATCCTCCACTCAGAGCAGGAGGATGTTAAAGCATCTGTCAGCCTCTTTATACCTGCAGTCCTTTAGAGTAATTGGATTGTTCTGTACTGTGCTTCAGCTGGTGTCTCGGGTGGTTTCTGGTCTACTCAGATGCTCAGCTTATTCTGTTCTTTGGTGCAGTAGGAAGAACTCTAAAACAGAAACACTCAAACACAAGAATAATGTACACAACTGCTCATTAAAACATTTTGATGTGAGTCACTGTAGCTCTAGCAGCCCATTTATTTGCATTAATTCCTCGTCAGGCTCCACTGCTTTTCTTTTCAAACCAAATGAGCAAGATATACATATATAAACACACCCACACATAGACTTTGATCAATCTTACATTTCAGCCGTGCCTAATACATAATGTACCTTATAATAAGTAAACAGCAAGATAGACTGAATGACTGCAATAAAGATAATTGTAACTAATATTTTCATCATAATTTACCACTCTGAAATGAAATTCATATTCTCTGAACTGCAGATTAACATTGATTGCTGATGTAAAATGTGCTTGTCATGCTAAAAACTTTGCACCTCCTTCCAATCTAAAGTCCACTGCATTGAGTTACTGTATGTATTTGACCTTGCTCTCCACTGCCACCAAGTGGCTGAAAATACAATTTGTCATTGTGAATACCCAGTGCATGGCTGCAGAAATTTCAAATTTTTCATGTTAAAAAACACCATGGGTTTGTGTGTACCAGGGTGAAGCTAAAATGATGAAGGATGGAAAATTGTTTAGAGTGATTCAGGAGAACTGCTGGGATGCGGAGGCTCGGATTCGGGATATGGACAAACACGGTAAAGAGAGTAAAGCAGCTATTTCTCAATGAAAATGTTTTGTGGCTTTGTTTTCAGATGCTTTATTATCTAATAAATAAACAAGTTTTATATTTAAAATTCTTATTTAAATTATTTGTACATTATCTGCAGACCAGTTCAACTTTATTTCATTGTTAATATTTATTACGGAGATTTGTTTTCATTTTTTCAGGAGTGACAGTACAGGCCCTTTCCACTGTACCTGTGATGTTCAGCTACTGGGTAAGACGTAACATGAAAATTAACATGAGAATTTAAGTGATACACTCTCAGAAAAAAAGGGACAGTTTTTCATTGTGGTGGTCAAACGGTACTATTATATACACTTTACATACTATTTAGGTACTTTAAGGTACTGATATGTACAATTTGGGGTTAAATAAGATACAAAGAAAAACTTTTTAGTTTTTGTACCTTACGGTGCTATATATAGACATTCACCACTTTTACTTCTAAATTCTTTTTGATGTTCCACTGCATTTCTAAAGGCCAAACCCCATGACACACTGGACCTGTGTGGGATATTGAATGATGATCTGGCTGCTACAGTAAAGCAATTTCCAAAGCGTTTTGTTGGGCTGGGTACTCTGCCCATGCAGGCCCCTGATCTGGCAGTACAGGAGATGAGACGGTGTGTGAATCAGCTCGGATTCCCTGGAGTGCAAATTGGCTCTCATATAAACACATGGGACCTCAATGCTACAGAGCTATATCCTGTCTATGCTGTAAGTCCATTTGCTTTTAGTAGACCTGCATGCCACAGTCACACTAAAGTATTTGGTCTCTTTGTGATTATTTTGTCAAGCAGTCATTTAGCTTTGTCTCAGTTTGTAAGGCATTGTTATCAATATTTTGCCTCTTACTACAGGCCGCTGAGGAACTCAACTGCTCAATATTTGTGCATCCATGGGACATGCAGACAGATGGTAGAATGGCAAAATACTGGCTGCCCTGGTTAGTTGGTGGGTTTGACTGAGTGTCTTGCATGTGATGTCGAGGTTTTTATATTTAATAGCAGATTCTGATTAGTAAATGTAAAAAAAAATCTGATTGCAATTTTTTTTTTATTATTAATTTTTATTTTATATAAATGTATTATTTAAGTTTTTAATTACTTTTGTGGTTTTGTGGAAGATTAGTACTGTACAGTATGTCATAATCTTTGTTTGGCTCCACTTTTTGACAGGTATGCCAACAGAAACTACAATGGCAATTTGTTCCATGATTTTTGGAGGTGTTTTTGAAAGATTTCCCAAACTTAAGGTCTGCTTTGCTCATGGAGGTAAAAATATTCATATTATTTTTAGATAATCAATTTATCATTTTGTGGATTGCAAAACAACTTTAGTGATAACCTTGAAATATAAAGATTTTTTTATTTTATATATTTTTTTTGCCGTTACTTGTCTTGAGGGATGTGGTATCACACTTTGGGTTCTAGGTGGTGCTTTCCCATACACCATCGGCAGAATTGAGCATGGCTTTAAAGTGCGACCTGATCTTTGTGCAACCGACAACAAGATCAACCCACGCAAATACTCAGGATCTTTCTACACCGATTCTCTAGTGCACGACCCACTTTCACTGAAGTTACTCATGGAAGTCATAGGAAAGGTAGTTATTTTAATTCTTATATCAACAGTAATGCTAAATCTCCCTGTAACAGAAGAGGCACAATAATATTTAGTTAGCGATTTATATAAGGAGCTACCTAAGTGAACTCTAAGTGATGAAATGGCAAAGCTACATGTTTCATGTGCAGGACCTTTCTATTCTGGTAATAAAAACTGTGAAGCAATATACATACATCTCTGGGATTTTTTAATATGTGCTATTTATTTTTTGGTATTCTGTTTCTTGCAGGATAAAGTGATGTTAGGCACAGATTACCCATTTCCACTGGGGGAACTGGAGCCAGGTGCACTGATTGAATCCATGGATGGGCTTGATAGTTTGCTAAAGGTAAGATAAACAGTTATCTATCTATTTATCTATCTATCTGAATACACTAGGTTTTATTTTAAACATCAAATTGCAAATACACTGTGCTCGTCACTTTACAGCTTATCTTTATTTTACTCTTTTGTTTAGGATAAACTGCTTGCTGGGAATGCTCTGGAATTTTTAGGTCTGTCAAGAAAACAGTTTGAGTGACTGATCAGTGTATCATAAGTATGTTACCAGAGAGCTGGGTCATGAGAATTAAACCTTACTTTATTTGCTTTTTTTTTTTTTTTTTTATTAAAAAAGAATAATAATATGCCATTAAAGAGTTGCTTTTTAATTGATTTATATTTAATTAAAGATGAGACCCTTCTGTCTATTTTAATTTCCTTTACAGATTCTAATATTGACTCTTGAGAATACAGTTATCAGATCTACAGTTCTCTAGAAAAATATTTTCTGTTTTCTTTCCCATTTTAAGAAAGGTTTGCTAAATGGTAACAAATAGTTGGTTAAAATAAATTATGGCATTAAATAAATTATGTTAAACCACAAAGAATATGCCATATTTTATTCATATATAGCCTACACCTACAAATAAACGTCTGCCAGGTGATACAAAATGAGTCTGATGTTTGCTTTCAATAATTAACTCAAAAGGATTTAAATAAAACATTTTTGTTTTTTAAAGTATTACTCAAACCACCTAGTATTCGTACACACAGCACATCCTAAAATTATCCTTCATACTAAACAATATAAGCGAGAAAACTATGAGCGAAAGTAAACTACAGTTCCCAGCAGAACCGCATTGTAGGACGTACGTCAATGACGTGGCGCCGCACGTGCGTGACGTAGGTGAAAATGCGTGACGCTCGTTCTCTGTTCGTCTGCTGGACGGTAATGGCGGCGTGCCGGGGATCATCGTCCAAATGGTTTTTTACCCGGGAACAGCTCGAAAACACCCCGTCCCGCCGCTGCGGAGTGGAGCCAGACAGAGAGCTGTCGTATCGACAGCAAGCCGCGAATCTTATTCAGGACATGGGCCAGAGACTAAATGTGTATCCTTCAGACGCTGATCAACAGCAGGCCCGTTTCTGTCTCTCGCTGTGACTGTTCGCGTTGCCTTCACAACTATAATTTCTATCACTTTTGTGTACCATGAATATCTGTAATAACTGTGAACTCGGCTGAAATTATTTGAGGTTGTCAATTAAACCCCCTTATGTTAGCAGCGCGCACACGTCTCGTACAGGCGCTTGCTGATTAATGTTCTACAAATGATTAACGTGCGGTTTGTATATGTACGTGTTATCTAGCTAGTCTGTCTATATATGTAACATAACAATGAGCTAGTTGTACCATGGATTTATGTTGTTTATGTTCAAGTCACTCAGGCGCGTGACAGCACGCATCTGATGTCAGTGGCACGCGAACAGGCCGGTTCCCGTAAACATTACATTTACTTTTAGTCATTTAGCAGACGCTTTTATCCAAAGCGACTTACAAATGAGGACAATATAAAGCAGTCAAAACTAACAAAAGAGCAACAATATATAAGTGCAAATGACAAATCTCGGTTAGCCTAACGCAGTACACGTAGTAAGGTGTATATATACAGTATATATATATACATTAAAGATATGAATTATGTAATTGTTTTGACTTTTTTTATATATATATAAAAAATTATATATCTCAGTATTTCGGCCAACTTTTATCAATACGGACAACGAATACGTAATTAGGTCAGTAAATGGTTTAAGTTATGTAATCATACGTTTTCCTTAACTCTAAACATCAGTTCTCAACTCACAATAAATACTGCCATTGTTTACATGCACAGATTTTATATGTACCACTCTTTCTCCAAATTCCACAGAAATGTAAGTGTTTCCATCCGCACTGCCTGCATCCATTACATATACCCTTTTCAACCTAATATACACATACTCATGAATATTCATGGGTGTGTTTCACCTGGAGTGTAAGGATGGTCCATCAGTGCAACTGTTAATGCAGTTTCCAAAATGAAGGTGAAATAGATAGATTATAGAACACTGTTAACCACAGCTATGAACCTGTTAATAACTGGTCTACCCAGCTGTGAAAACATTTTTCATCAGTTCTGGTGATCTTGATGTTTTAATTAGACACTTTAACCTAAATTTACAATTCTGTCATCAGTTACTCACCCTCATGTAATTCCAAACTCTTAAGACTTTCATTCATCTTCAAATGAAACATGAATGAAGATATTTTTAACGAGTCCTGTAGAAATTTCTGTCCATTGAAAGTCCATTCACCCAAAACACATGAGAACAATCCTCATTGGTTCTCGCAAGTCAAGCAAGCATGTTTGAGCTTCCGTTTAACATATCTGATGTATGTGCTTCGATCGATGTTTCTATGTGAATAAAAGCCTAAATTAAATATTTTTATTTAAACTGATTGTCTCTTCAGAAGACTAAACTGCTCAAATCATATAGTTTTTTATGATCTCTAGGAACTTTATAAAGTTTCAAAGAAATCTCTCAGGTTTCATTAAAAGTATCTTCATTTGTGTTTCGAAGATGAATGAAAGTCTTATGGCTTTGGAATGACATAAGAGTGAGTAAATGATGACAGAATTTTCATTTTTGAGTAAAAAAAACCTTTTAAAGTAGGCTTGCATCTTTTGACATGACATTGACATTTTTTCTTTCCTCTCTAGACCACCTCCCCAACAGCATTATTTCTGGCTGCAAAAGTTGAAGAGCAACCACGGAAACTCGAACATGTCATTAAAGTAACTCATGCGTGTTTAAACCCCCAGGAGCCTCCACTGGATACAAAGAGTAATGTAAGTCCTGGGTATTATTATTGTTTTAATTTTCTTCTTCAATTTCCTCAACCTTTTCATCACATTGAATAATTTATGCTACACATAAGTGTGTTTAGATTCTGTCACTACAGAATTAGGCGTCTCACTAGTCAACTCCAAACAACTTGATTTTGATCAGGGGTTTCTCACCTGCCAACTGTTTTTAAAAAATCCTGCCCTCAGGTTGTTCCAAAAGTTTATTGTTCATCTTCAAAAAAACAAATAAAGATATTTTTATTGAAACCTGATCAAAGATGGTTAAAGGAAGCTCAAACGTGCTTGCTGGACACATGAGAACCAATGAAGTTTGATCTTGCGCGTTACGCAAGTTCCCCTGACCATATTTGAAAGTTTTGAAGATGAACAAATGTCTTATGGATTTGGAACAACATGGGGTGAGTTAATGATAACAGAGTTTTAATTTGAGTGAACTATTCCTTTAAGAATGACAGGGGGTGGCAAATTAAACAAATGCCTCTGTTATTTCTTTCCCGTTCATGTGAATCTCACAGAACCTGTGAACCACAGAACCCTACGATTCTCCAGCAACAATGTAAATGAGGCTTACAACTAAAAATGGACTAGTGAGACACTGACATTAGACATCCAGTGTGTCAGTGCTAGGACAGAAATCTCTTGAATGAGAAAAAAAAGTGTCTTGAAAAAGACAAGTAAAAAATAACTGTGCGGCAAACAATTAGTGTTGCCTGTAATTGGAAGGGTGCAAAGAATTCAGTTTATGGGTTGAATATACAGAAAGACACATTACAAGCCTCATGTAATGATTGTCTATTGAACTTCAGGCATACCTCCAGCAAGCTCAAGAGCTGGTGATACTTGAAACCATAGTGCTGCAGACTTTAGGTAAGTCTATGGAAGGTTTCTTTCAACAATTAGAGTGAACTTGCTGACAGTGGTTCACTTCTGGGAAAAAAAAACAAAAAACATTTTTACTCAGAGTATTTGCCTGAAAAGTTGTATCATTATGACTAAATTCACCAGAATGGTGATTTTAAACCTTGTTGAAAACGTGCAGACATTTGATGATCCATTTGTGCCTTTTGTATAATAAAATTATAAAAAATCCCAAAAATCATTAAGTATTCAATGTGTGTGGATCCTGCTTTTTTTCCATTTGAAGTCATTACGATTTTTACTGATCTGCGCAACCTAAGTGGGGGATGAACGCAGTGATTTCACATTTTTTTGAAACCTTGTTGCAAAGAAACCAAATTGATTTTCAGTTAATCTGGGATGTTATTTTTGCCACATGATACATGGGTATCATCTCAATAATTCTGCATCATTTTAAAGGCTTTGTTCTAACTAATGCATGATTATCTTTCATGATCCACAGGTGTTGAAAGCAGTTTGATTCAGCTGTGAATGAAATTCATGTGCTTTATATTGCAGGCTTTGAAATAACAATTGAACATCCACACACTGATGTGGTGAAATGTTCCCAGCTAGTGCGAGGTATAGACTTTCCTTCATATGCTCACTGCAATCAACTTTAGATACAAAACAGTGCTTGCTTAGTCTTTGAATCAAACTATTGGCTTTTGCGTTATGGCTAAGCATGCCGTTCTTGGAGAGGTAAATCTCACTGTATTGAGCGTAACTGGGTCTCATTCTTACTCACGTGTATAGTTTGACTCACTCTCATTCTTTTGCCATTATCTCTCTGTTTACTTTCACAGCAAGCAAGGATCTGGCACAGACTTCCTATTTCATGGCTACCAACAGGTTGTTATCCAGAACCTCATTTGTTGCACTGTGACTGCACACTATAGCTTCCTTTACTGCAGGTTACCCTACCAGTGTCCAACACCCTCCTTGCACCGGTGGCTACTGGGACGCCCCCCCCCTCTCAAACATGCCCTCAGAGCAGGGTGGGGAGGGGGTTCGGTGGCACCGGCCCCGGTTGCAGTGCGGTGTATTGTACGGGGGATCATTGTTGGCACAGAGGGGTTGAATGCACAATGTGAAGTGTAGTGGTGCTCTTGAACCTCACGTTTGCTCGGTTACAGAAGTGCATTTGTCTAAAAAAAGACACTTTGGTAGCCTGAATAGCAGCTAAAGATTACACAGATGTAAACATTACATAGAAGTCCTTACGGTAAGTACCCAGACCCCTTTGTTTTTTCCTATGATTTTGTTATTCTCAAAGTGATAATTGAACCTTTGTTTTGGTCGTTCGTATTCAAACTGTTTAGAAGTACTTTTTTTTTTGTGCTTTTTTTAATGTTTTTTTTTTTGTCATTCACTGCCTGACTTGATTTTTAGATACAGACATCTGTTGTGCTTCCATTGTGAAATACCTTTGTTTTAATGCAAATAAACCCATTAAGGACCGTTTGATTTTTATTTTATTTTTTAAAATTAAAATAGTTGTTTCATTTGGCTATGTATTTTTATACCCATTACAATCCTGAAAAATTGTTGGTATCAGGTGTGTAACAAAAGGTCCTTAAAGGGTGTAGTCATTGTAATTTAATCAAATAGAGGATTTTTTGTTTGTGTTTGGGCTCCCTCATTGTGTAGTTATTGTCTTAATTATTTTTAAATCAGGTTACCTTTCATTAGTGTTTGCCCCCTTGTTTGCATAGGGATACTGCAGCATTGTATGCGATGTCTGAACATGGGACTAGAGCGGCATATGCTCAACACATGGTCTGCATATAATGTGGCCATTGAGTTTTTTGTTTTTTTTTTGGCCTTTGTTTTGTCCTCAAAGGATATGGACTTTACAGGTTTTTAAACTGAATTAACAGAACTTGATTGATAAATCAAGCATAGTTTTGTATGGCCAATGTGTCCGATGATGGATGATCTTACAATTTTTATTCCCTTGTGTATTTTCCTTGCATTTTTTTTTTAAGTAGAGGCTGGTTTTTAGGTCTTTTTTAGCTATCACCTGTAATGCAATGAATGTTGCAGTCATTTGTTTGTCTTTGTTCCATTATGATTTAAAGGCTCCTCTTACCCCATGTCCAAACATTGATTCTGTTCTGTAGCACAGGGTTACCATCCAGCTTTGACTGAGGCTTCAGTTTATTATTTGTTTCAAATGTCAGTAAAACACTTTGTTCAATGTAAGACTGTTAAAAGATCACTAAAAGATTGCTAGCATTTTAGTAGAGGAATCTTTGATTCCTCATGGCTTCTTCAGGGACTATTGATGCAGTTTAGATGCATTTCCTTTTTTTTCCCTAGCAGAACAAGTAACTACCTTCCACATTAAAATACTAACATTGTTTTTAGAGATGTAGGCAAATTTACAGAGATTACAGAATAAGCACTTGATGAGGCCAAACAGTCAGCCCTGTTTTGTTTTTCATAACATGGGCTTGCAATGTGGTAAATACGGATGGTAACCATATGCTTGTTTGCTTTACTGTTCCCTATGATTCTGTTGACTGCAGGCTTTTACGCCTGTTATTGAATGTACAGTATTATGTCAATGGTGTCAAGTTTACCCTTGATTATGAGTAACAACCCTATTATTCTTTTGCTTGCACAGATTTAATTTCACAATGTAAAACTGATTTATAGAACTTTATAGAATTTTCTACTGCTATTCTAAACTTCAAATGTAGGGATGATAAAATTGATCAGCTGCTGATCAGAATTGGCTGACTGCACTCCGACATTAGGCCTTGTAGACCATTTCCTCTTAAGCCAATCTGTTTCTTTACATGGATAACATGTTCAGGAAGTTCTGCTTGATTTTTTTTTTTTTCCTGACCATTTCAAATTTTTGATTGACGCATCCCTTCTCATGTTGTCTTTTGCCATTCAGTTTGTATCCTTTGTAAACTACTGTCTACCTTAATTGCATGGTGCTAAATCAAGTAGTTTTTGAACTGTGCAGGTAAATTTAGGAAGTGTTACTCACAATTGGGGAATATCTTAGTGGCTTCAGTGCTTCCTTAATAATATTCTCTAGATGTTAAACACTGCCTTCTGTCTGCTCAGTGACTGATCGTTTTGTGCTTTCTTTGTTGTCTTTTTTTCTTCCTCGTGCTGCTCTTGCAGTCTGCACCTCACCACCTTCTGCTTGCAGTACAAGCCCACAGTCATTGCCTGCGTCTGCATTCACCTGGCCTGCAAGTGGTCCAACTGGGAGATCCCTGTTTCCACCGATGGAAAGCACTGGTGGGAGTATGTGGACAACTCAGTTACACTTGAACTTCTTGATGGTAAATGAGCATTCTCCTAAATTACCATATATAATTTGGCTCATTTTGCCCTAGTTGTTGTGTAAGTCACCCATAAATTATAGTCATTCAAATTTTGTTGTAGAACTGACCCACGAGTTTCTGCAAATATTAGAGAAGACACCCAGCAGGTTGAAGAGGATTCGTAACTGGAGGGTAAGTGATTAGACTAGATGAGTCATGCATTTGGTGTCTTTAGATTGTTTAATTTGGATAACACATAGTTGTTGTTGTGTTTATTTCTAGGCTACGCAAGCTGCTAAGAAGCCCAAATCAGATGGTCAGGCCTCAGACAGCAGCTCTTTAGCGGGACCTTCATTAACCCAGGACATGTCCTTGATGGATGCCCTTCCTGGGGTTTCTACAAATACAGCTTTCTCCAAAGCCTCCACGTCTTTCCCAGTGACCCTGCCAAGCTACTCAAGCAGCAGTCTTTCTCTTGATTCCATTGGCAACATGCAGGGAACTTCATACACGTACACCGCTCCCAGTGACTGGCCTCAGGACCAAGTACACTCAGACCAGTATTCTGTCAAACAACTTCCCCCATACAGTTCTATGCACCCACACCGGCCTGACAAATGTGCAGAGTTAAACCCTGCCAAACACGAACATAAGGCCAGTGGCGGGGCGAAGCACCAGGCCACGACCTATCCACCACCTGCAGCACCCACACAGAAGATGTCTCTGGACAAGTACAGGGAGAAACACGCTGGTGAGATGGCAGTGCAGAAACGCAGGCAAGAGCAGCAGAACGTGGAGACGGAGGTCTATGGTGCTCCAACACAGACGGATCACCGGAAACACCTGCCCCAACTGTCTCATGGGCAGCAGGGAGCAGGAGCCACCACTGCCTCGCCCCTGAAGATGAAGCTGCCCGTCCCTGGGCAGGACAAGCTCCAGGACAAACGCGAGAAAGGGAGCTCTTTAAAACTGCGTCTTCCGGTTCCCTCCCAGAGCGAAAAGGAGGGATCAAGTAAGGAGGAGCTAAAAATGAAAATAAAGGTGTCCTCTGAGCGACACAGCTCCTCTGACGAGGGTGCTGCAAAAAGCAAACATTCCAGCCCGCTTGTGAGCAAGGAGAAACACAGAGACCACTCAGCCCATCGTCACCATCACAAACATGGCCACTCACACACGCACACGCATAGCGGCAACGGCAGGAGCAGCCTTGAGGTACCCGCATCTGGTTCGGCCCTTCGGAGCCCAGTAGGTTCCAGTGGTGATGGCACAAGCTCTGCTTCCAGTTCCTCACGTAAGAGGGTGAACCCCGACGCCAGCCACAATCACCACTCTAAAAAGAACAAAAGCTCCAAAGGCGGTGCAGGTAGTTCCTCTCATTGTTCCTCTGTTCAGCAGTGTGTGTCATCTCACAGCTCTGTTCTTAACCTTCCCTTCCCCCCTCCCCCTGTCACATACCAGGTGGGCTACGGACATCTCAGCACCCTAGTGAAACTGGACAGGAAACCAGTGGAGAGCCATGGCCCTGAGGGCTCCTGCCTAGCTAATGGCCAACACACAGACTACAGATACTTTTGACATGCTTGATTCGCTATAAAGTGCCCAAGGAATGGACTCCTGAACTGATAGGAAAGAGGATAAAATATAAGAGAAAATCAAGCATAGATTTCATTATTAGGAAGAGGAAAAAAACAGGAATGTGAAGAGTAAGAGAAAGAAAATAAAAATGCTTCCCGATCTTCTGGCAGTTCGGTTCAGTCTCGCCATCTCTGTATAACTGCTGCTTTCCTCAGTATTCCTTCACGAGCAGCCTGTATGTATGCGTGAGCCAGTATACGAATGTCAGGGCCATTATAGTTTAAAAAAAAAACTTTTCATGATAAAAGCATAATGAGTGATGAAAGTTTTTGCCACAATGAAAATTTGTAAGACTGAAAGCACCCTCTAGAATGACTGACGCTCCTCTCATTTGTTAAACAAAGTTAGTAGAAAGAATGCAGAATCAAGATTTAAGTTCCATAGTTCCTTGAATGTTTCTTTGTTTCCTTTCCCCTCATCTGATACCTTCTATATGAACTGCATGTTTATAATGAAAGGGACGAGATAGTTGTTTACAGATTGTGAAGAAAAATTTACATACATTCTCGTATGCTAAAAGCTGTACCATAACTTCTCAGGTTTGGAGCTGCTTGTGTGTATATATATATATACATATATATGGGGGTAGGGGGGATTTTGTGACTCAGTGTTAGAATCTATCATTGGCATCTCCAGCGCAGCCTTCCAGTGCTATCAGGAGAGGGTGAACTAGCAGGCAATCCACACCCTGCCAATTACCTGGCATGTTGTCAGAGGCCATGCAATTTGTACCTTTTTTGACCTGCAAGATGACCTTAAGCTGGATGCCAAAGGCTGTGCCTCAAAAAGTATAGTTCTATAAAGTTTACATAACCTTCGCTGTGAAGTGCATTTTATATATTTCTTGGCTTGAAGCAGTAGCCTATTTGTGCAACTCTGTAAGTCAGTCAAAAATGACCAGAAATATAGGTGGGTAAAAGGAGATTGAGTTCATTATCACAGTGCTGACCCAAAGAGATCTGGGCTTTCACAGGCCCTCAACATTATTTCTGAATATGGATGAATGGTTTTGATCATTTGATTTTGATTCTTTTTAGTGTGAAGCTATTGGTAAATGAGGCCAGCATTGTACACACCATGATTTTACTTTGGATCACTGAATTGCAGTTGGATAAGGCAAGTGCAAACTCTGGCATTTTTTTTTTTTTTTGCCTTTTCTCAAGTTTTATTTAGATTTAATAATAAATTCCATGGTTTCCACTACCTTAACCTCAGTCTTTATGTGATCATTTATTGTGTTAAGAACTTATTGGCACGCTTGTCAAATAACTATTTACAGATCTTCACTGTTATTTTATGAATTAGATTTTCTCCATGTTAAATTATGTTGGGTCACAATGTCAGTTTGCTTTGTATCATGGTTTTTAAAAGTTACTTTTTGATTTGGTGAATCAAGTTTTCAGTTCATTGGCCTATTGCAGGCTTGGCTGTGATGAAAGATGAATGGATGTCCTAACAGTTCCTCTGCTGAAGGTCGTTGCTTTGGATCTCTGCAAAGAGGAAAATTGTTCCACTGTTACAAAACACCTAAGATAATAATCTGTGGAGATTTTACAATAATATACAATGGATTAAAAAAAACTCCTCAGCACAAAATAACCAGAGCAAATATTTCATTTTTGAGTAAAAGCAAATTACCTGGTTAGGCAAGCCTTGACAAAGCCATTTGCATTTGAAGAGAAGTCATCAGACAGAGATGGCATTAAGCCCTTTTGAGCCCCAATGTAAAAAAGAGCTGCCATCTTGTTCATGTGTGCGAGGGGTGGCTTTCCTGTGGCCATTTCAAACACAGTGCAGCCAATGCTCCAGATGTCTGATTTTCGTCCATGACCTGTCTCACTTATGACCTCTGGTGCCATCCAGTATGGGGTACCATGCACAGACTTCAGAATGTCACTCTTACTTCCAGTTGAAGTCTGAAGACAGCTAAGACGGCGAGCACAACCAAAGTCGATTAGCTTGATCACTCCGTTGGGCATAAGCATAATGTTGTTCCCCTTCAGATCTCTATGGATGACCCTGTTAGCATGGAGATAGGCAACACCTTCCAGAATTTGTCGAGTGTATAGAATGAAGACCTTCTCTGGCAAGGGTCCGAACCGGCTCAGGATATTTGAGATTGACCCACCTGGAACATACTCCATGAAGATGCTTACAGTATTCTCACAGAGAGCTGTGCCCAAGAAACCAACAATGTTAGTGTGATGAAGGGTCTTAAGAAGATCCACTTCTCTCTCGAAGCGTTCATACTCTTTTTCTGCCATCTCTGAAGTTGAAGCATCCAGTGCCACCTGTTTTACTGCAATCAGCTGACCTTGACTGGTTAGCCCACAATACACCTATGAATAAAAATTTTAAACATAGCTTTGTAATTGATTATGCTTGGAGAACATTTTGAAAATCATAATTGTTTATACTATAGCTAGGAAGAGTGCTTTAAAATGACTGCACTTAAATACCTACCGTTCCATAAGCTCCTTTACCCAGAACCTCTCCTTTTGTCCATGTGATAGCATCATCTGAGCAAGATCCATTAGAGTAATGCAGTTCACCTGAGGACACACCCTGATGAACAACAGAAACTCACTGTGATGGCCCATATAATACTGCAGGGGTAGCCAACCCTGCTCCTGGAGAGCTACTACCCTGCAGAGGTGTGTTGAAGCAGGGTTGGTGTCTGAAATCTGCAGGAAGGTAGCTCTCCAGGAGCAGGGTTGGTTGACACTATGTACAAGTGAAGTATGTTAGAATGTTACCTCATTTAAAAATGTCTTAAATTTTGTAGGCAAGTTATGTTTAAACTCTGTGCTATCTTCCTTTTCAGTCTTGAGTGTTTCAACGTCTCTTCTCTCGAGTGAGATCAACTCCTCTGCCAAAGACCTCAGCAGGTCATCTGTGAGAGGTCCATCACCAACCTCCTCTAGAAACCTCTGGTACAAAGGTGACGCCGTTCCGTCACTTGTCCAGGTATTGATAAGGGGCTGCGATGGCAATTTGGTCTCGCATGATATTTCAGGTTCACTTTTGGCACTTGCATCAATTGGAGTTTGTTCTTGAAGTATTATTTCCTTTATGAGACTTGTTTTGGATACAGTGTTGGAAAGTACTTCCTCAATCACTGATAGTATGGAAGTATATTGTCTTTCTGCACTTGAAATTTCTCTTCCATCTCCCTCGATGTGCATTTCAGATTTGTTCTGCTGGACAGTTCCACAAGCAGAGGTTACAAGGACATGGCATTTATTCTCTGGAGAAGGTGGGCGTTTCTTTATCTCTTTGGTAACATTATCCCTCCGCTTGAGCTGCCTGCATTTAGCTCGACTGGATCTCTCTGATTGAGCTTGTTTCCTTCGGTTAACCTCTTTTTTTTGGCCCCTTAGTTTTCCATTGATCTGTCTTTTAACTTGAAGTGCTGTTTGGATCTGTCTGGTTCTCTCTGCAGAACTGTCCGCTTTAAGATTCTCATAAACTGGAGTCGCAAACATTTCGTAGATTACTGGGCCTTCATCTCCCTGACTGATCTTCAGAAACATGTCATTGTAAGTGACATAATCCACAGCAGACCTTGCTCGTTGTATTGGTCCTGTTGCTGGCTTTTTGGATGCTCTTGCATTACTCTGATCTCTGTGAAGTTGGTTTTGACTGTTATTGCTTGCTTTGTCATCACTCAACTTCATGTGTTGAAAAGGTTCAGAGACCAACCTTGTTGCAGTTTTTTTACAAGCCATTATAGGTGCTCTTGGCAAATATTTGTTAGTCGTCTCTCCTGCAATAACTATGCTAGTGGGTTTACTTTCTCTGAGTTGCTCCTTTGAGTGATTTGGTGAATATATCCTATTCCTTGTGGTTTTAACAGTACTTTGTTTTCTGTGTGCCAGAACATTGAATGACTGATTTGTCTGAATAGATGTTTTGCCTTTACTGGCATTTCTCTTGATCATCTTAATTGGTTTGTTCTTCTCATGTGAAGTTTGTTCTACTACACCAGTATCCACAGCGGTGAGGTGTTTCTCACCTGCAACAGAACCGGATTCTCTGACTGTAGGTATTTGTCTGATTATGTTTTTGGGTCCTTCAGAGACCGAGCAGCAGTTCATAGTTGGAGAGTTTTCGGTTGTTTTGGAAGACTTGCATCTTATTTCATCCTTGACTTCCCTAACAGTCAATGATTTGATAGATGTGTAGCCTTTCTTGTTGTCTGAAATTACATTATCGTTTGTAGTATTGTGTATTACAGAACTGACTAAATCCTGAAAATCCAAGTAGGTCCCCAGTTCCAGATTGAGTGACTTCTCTAAGCCCACATGTATTTTGTGTGTATCTTGAGGCACAGTCTCATCCTCTTCTTGGCTACTACTGCTGCAGGAGTTGCTCTCTTCACTGCCTGCTTGGGTGCCTCTGGATCTTCTGGAAGACGGCCTGGAGATCCTTTCCAGTCTTTGTCTGGACTGTGATGAGATGGGCAAGATGCTACTTTGTTTTAAGAGAAGTGGGTGCTCAAGATTTGAACATGCAGAGCCATCCTGGTGTATATTGTCCAGCGGAGCAAGATGTTTGGGTGTCTTTGAACATCGAGTAGGTAGTGTCTGGAAAGCACAGCACAACAATCAAAAGGTTATTAAAGGCAAGACTTTTTGTATTTATTGAAATGTTTAAAAAAAAGCATTTCCTCACCTTTTGTCTGTTATCGTCATCCCCTGTGTGAGCACCTCTAAGCCCTGTAGTGAATTGGAAACTTTTATTATATGGTTTTCTTTCATTACAATCAAAGTTGCACACAGACACAAACTTAAAAGTAGAGTTGCCTGTAGTTACATTAAGCGAATGTGTCCTGACTTTTGGTGACTCAGCAACCACAATGTAGGCAACATATGTTTGTTTGAAAACTACCCCTTGAGCATCCCGTAATCCTCTTTCTTATGGATTGTACAAAGTATTAGTGAAGGTCTCCTCTAATACTTAGTCTTCTGATGACAATATACCCTAAGTTCCTTCATTCATTCTCAGACTATCTCTACAGCTGATCTGGTGAGAATCTCTCCACAGGCAAGATTCTGGGGTAAATGTACCTCTGTCAGGATTATGTTCTCTAAGATGGTGGCTTCTTCATTCTCTTTTAATCCATTCATTTTCTAACTGTAGTGCAAGCTTCTGACAATACAAGTAGATGTCTCCTTGATCACAGATGATCCTAATAACAGACTCTGGATCACAAAAATGATCAACACTGGCACTGCTTCCCTTCTTGTTCATCATAAGCACAGTCCTTTTCTATTTTTGTGTTACTTGTAGACGTTCTTTGGAAACTCTTCCAGCCTCATCAGCAAGAGGATTTAATGGTGGATTTCTTGGAAACCACTGAGACTAGGTAACACTTAAGGTTATCTGGTCTGTTTGGGGAGCAATATCAGCTCTTTTCTGTGATTCTGACAATAAATCCACAAACACTTTTGTACATCTTCACACACCCAGTCTGGACTGCATGCTACTTTCCTAAAGGCTTGTTCACACTGCACCGGCAGATGCCGGGCAATAATGAACAACACCAGATTCTGTCACTGCTTAGGCATTCTATGACCTGACAAATGCTGATTGAACATGTTCAGTCAGTGAAAACAAACGGTGACCAACAGCAACAGACGCTGACAGGGGTAACACATTGATCCGACTAAACCTGACAAACATGTCTGTTGGCATTGGTCAGCATCTATCAGTGCAGTGTGAAATAGCTTTAACCTAGTGGACCCAGTTACATTTTGGTTGACTGTGCTTGTTTATTCACTGAAATCTGTCAAACCACATTATGTATCTAATTTTTTTAATGCAATTCTTTCACAATAAACAACTGTCTATACTTACTGTTATGAATGTTAGCCCGTGCTTGCAACAGCGCACTTGCATCAAGAAGAGGGTCCATTAGCATTGGAGCAGACTTACTGAGCTGAGTGATATGAGCAGCAGGAAGAACAGGCATTGAGGAAGAAGTCAAACTGAGTGATGGATGCAAGGACCTTATTTTGCCTTTGTCTTTTCTGCCGTTCCATAGGCTGGGCAAGGATGAAGTTCGACTGAGTGAAAATTAATTTACATGAGCATGTTCACATTTTTCAAAGCATTTACAAATTATCTATATTGGTAACACTTTACAATAAGGGTACATGAATAATCATGTATACTTATACCTGAATTAATACTTAATTAATCATATACTACTGATTGAAGGCATTAAAGGTACAATAGGAGATCTTGGAAAAAGCTAACTTTAGCCTGATAGCACTGAAAGCGAACTTCCCACCATTCCTGCAATCGCCGTCCAAAGCCACGCCCCCTGAACGCATTTACACTCACAGACCACTGAACTAAAGAAGAGCTATCCTTAACTACGACTGGAGTCATATGGATTCATGCATGAATAACAGCAGCCTTGTTAGTACATGTATGATAGTTAATGCATTAATTAACATTTATGGGTAAACTAAATCAAACAGCCTCTTTACGAAGGAATAAGTACTCTGACTTTGACATTTAAATAATTTAATTCTAACATAATGAGCTTTTGACATCTGCAGATTTGTTATAAACTTTACTGTATGGCAAAGGATTAGTTATTATTAACTACCCATAAACTAATAGCAACATCAACTCAAGGTTTGTTAATACATTATTTTGCCGTGACTTTACTTAAGGGGGCCCAACCATAATTAATTCACTGTTAACTTCTTACTAAATTGCTAAATTCAGCTCATGATTTATTTTATACTTAATATCAAACACACGTGTACTAACACAACGAGTATTGAGCCCAATTAAGGGATGTTGTATGGCTTTTCAAGAAGTCAGAGAGTGGTGGTACAGGATCATCACGGCCTGCGTCTGGATGGAGAGTGAACTGTACTGACACCCAGCAAACGTTCTGAACTTACCTGCGGTATGTTTCTAGTTTGGCCATTTCTTTAGGAATTGTTCTACAAATGTTCTTAGTGGGTTTTGAGTTTTTATTTTTTCTTTAGCTGCGTATAAGTCGCAGTAGAGTGAGTTTAAAGAGAACAACACAAAACCGACAAGATCAGTTATTAGTTTAGTATTTTCTATGCTTGATGAGGAGGACCGACTAATCCTTTGCCTCCCGGTGAAGTTTATAACAAACCTGCAGATGTCAAAACCTCAAATTATGTTAGAATTAAATTATTTAAATTTATTTCAAAATCAGAGTAGTACTTATTCCTTCCTAAATAGGCTGTTTGTCTAATTAATGCATTACCTATCAAACATGTACTAACATGTAGTTAAGGCTGCCGTTATTCATGTGTGAATCCATATGATTCCAGTCGTAGTTAAGGATAGCTCTTCATTAGTTCATGATTAGTTAATGCCTTCAATAATCATATGATGAATTAAGTATTAATTTAGGTATTGGTACATGATTATTCTATCCTTATTGTAAAGTGTTACCACTATGTCTTCTTTTGAAACATGCTGAATGTTTCTTAGCAGTAAGGGCAGAGTTAAATCTTCCTTAGACAAGTTTTCCCCTCTCTCTCTGTGTGGATAATAGTACACCCTGGAACCATAGTCTTATGCTGACAACGGCTTGATCCTGTAACTGTACTCCTCTGTACGGTCTTTGTGTAGAAATGAGAGAGCCACTGAATGGACAGGAGGTTTCATGCAGGCAAATTGTTTGTGAGGACAGTTTGTGCATTTTACGTTTACACAGCTGCTGTTGGTGGTGTTTAAGTGTGATTTTATTTTTTTATGCATTTAGCAGACACTTTTATCCAAAGTGACTTACAGTGGATTCAGGCTATACAATTTTTACCAGTATGTGTGTTCCCTGGGAATCGAACCCACGACCTTTTGCACTGCTAACGCAATGCTCTAGCACTGAGCCACAGGAACACTCTCAATTCTCTACCTGTTACTATGTTTATCTGAATGTTTATTTAATTTGATGAAGATGTGATGAATGGATGTGTATGCGGTCAGCTGGCTAACCTGCTTCGTTTCCTCTCATCTCTGCCATTTTGTCTGATGAATATCTTTGGCTCCATCCAACCCTCAAAGCAAATCCTGTTATCTGCAGACACACAGCCAAATACACTCTGGGTGAAAAGGGTCATGTAGAAGGGGCCCCATGGTTATGCTACAGCACCAACATAAAAACTCACAACACCAACATTACTCAAGGATGAGATGAAATGAGGACAGTGTGTGTGTGTGTGTGTGTGTGTGTCTGTTTCAGGGTGGTGGAAAAGGTTGCCAAAGCTTTTGTAAGCCCGGTGGACTGCTGCCATTCTGGAATGATCCTGCAGATGTACCTCTGACACTGTATTCTGTCTTCTAAAATTAACAATAAATTCTTTCTAAGTCTAGTTGTTGACTCACCTTGGTGGATGTCTGCATGATAATTTTGTGCCTTTATAGTCTCAGCTGATTCTTTCTGCAAAAAAAAAATAAAAGATCAGTAAAGGAAATGTTATCAATGACACAGCTGGTATGCAGCAAGAAACAACACTGCATAAAAGCTGCGAGGTTGACTGTCCCTTACAATAACCTTTCACAGAATCACACATGACTAATTCACCTGTTGACTATTGACCATCTGGAGGCGGTCTATTCAGTCAAAAACAATCATTAGCCAGCTGTGATGCCTGTGACCAAGGCTCAGCCAAATGAAACGCCAAAAAGGGCTTAATCAAAACATTTCAGAGCAAATAATCTACATTTAATTGGCTTTGCCTTTACAATCCCACTGAGACTTATTTATTATTTTATTCAGTTTATGCCGTCATTATGTTTTTACGGTTTTGTTCAAATGGATTTCTGCAGGACACACTGCCAAGATTCACTGTATATAATGAGTAAGAAGTGTGAGAGCACCTGACCTTCATCCCATCTGAATCTGGTGTGCAACAGCCACGTGTAGGAGAGCAGCTGGGGAGTACAGAAGGACTCGCATCCAGACACGTGAATAATGTATCTCCAAAATACAATATAAATACTAACATAAGTCATCACATTGAGGACATAAACAGGTTTCTGATGAATTGCACAACAAATAAATGGATGAATTTTCTTATAAAATACTGTATAAACAGTGATATAAACTCTATAAACAAGTGTTTTGAGAATTACATGAGTTAGCCTATAGCTGGTACTATATTCACATGCTTGACAAATAACTTCAATGAAAACTATTGATTGTACTATGTATAAATATATTAAATGATTATGCACCATGTAGACTTATTTAAGATTTATGAAGAGAAAATCATTTTTAATCCACCTTACTTTAATGTAAGAGCGAGTGCTCTTGATATTTAAAACTGGTGCATTCGCTATCATAATATTTGAATTAATTATTGTAATTATAAACAAGCTGGTTTGCAGCACAATTAGTTTTACTGTTTACTGCACTTTCACAGAAAATAGCTTTCTTCCACATTGCAAAATAAGGGGAATATGTAGCGTTTACCTGTTTGCATTGAAGAATCCATTATACGGAAGAGTTCTTCCTTCTTGGTGCTCTTGATCTGAGAGACGTACCACAGAGCAGTGTGACCTCTTCCATCAAGGATCTTCATATCACTGGAAATCAGAGCAGGTGGATCAGTGACTATTTTTAATGAGAGAGGCCTATTAAATTACCATTCGTCTTAAATTCCATTTTTACTGTTTACAATTCTACATCTTCCAAATACATTGCATTTATATTTGTTGTTTATATTTTACATTTCCATAACAAATCCAACTGAAATTGGATTCCTTACACCGGAAGAGACATAAGTTCTTTCAACACTTCCACAGGTTGATAGTCCCACGGCGTCTCCAGTTCTTCAAACAGATCCACATCCCTTACAGCCAACATCAGGGGAGTCAGTCCATCTCTGTTCTGTTTATTCAACTCCACCAAGTAAGTCTGGGCCTGTAACACACAAACAATATAAGCTTTGTTTGTTGTAATTTACTCCACCTCTCCCTCACATGACAGGTGGCCAATACTGATCCATCAGAGAACTCCCTATGGAGTCTAGTCTGCTTTGTGTGAACCAAAGGTTGATACCACATTTCAAACAGTCAAATGGCAAGTGGAAGTTGAAGTCTGAGCTGCTCACCATCAGGTCCTGTAGACAGCAGAGGTCTCCCCTCCAGGCTGCTTGTGAGAGCTGCCTCTGATGGGGTACGTCTCCGATCATAGCCGTCAACAGCTCCTCTTGGAGTGCTGGTTGACTAACGTGAAGAGCTGTCTGGTTGCTATGGTTACACAGCGTAGCATCGGCTCCTCTTTTCAGAAGGAAATGCATCACCTGTTTTCAAAATTGCCTATGTTAAAAGCAATGTATCAGAATGATAATTAAAATTATAATGAACTAGGTGAATAATAGTCTTATAGGTTTATGATATTTAAGCAATCAAACAAGTGAGAGTTCCATGCTGACATTAACCGACATCAAGTGTGCAAGTGTGATATAGCTTTTATACAACAATTCAATAAATTAATATTAATTAACCTAAATTTTGGGGACAATATTGGCAGTATATTTTTGCTCTGCCAGCGAAAATAATTCCAAACGAAGCTGATGCAAAATTATGTTGCAATTTTTGATCGAGTGCTGTTGTGCTGTAAAAAAAATCTGACATTTTAAACTAATCAATTGAGTAAATGATTCAATGACTTAAGAAATTGCCTTCTATAACCTCATTCACTATTCCCTACATTACTCCACTATTATAGTCCACTGAATGAGTGAATGAAAACAAATGAGCAAATTCAGACATTGAGTGTGCCGGATGTGCTACGGACGTGGGAATTCATTTGGCGTGACACTCATTGGTTATATTGAGGTGCATTATGGAATTGAATAATGTCCACTATTGTTTGGGTCACCACTACAAATGGTTGTCCCTCAAATAGTGCAATATAATGAGGAACTATTTCGTACAGTGTTGTTTCATTCCTTTGAATGAATCTGAGTTGATGACTTACTCTCTCAGCAAAACAGTCACTTGTAAAATCCCTATCACCAAAGCACAGACACAAACAAAGCGATACAAACAAGTAAAATCCCCCGAATCGAACTGTATATTATTACTCTTAAAACTAAATGTTGTTTAATGCATAATGCAGTAATTAAATCAAGAAAACAGGAAGTAGTAGAAAGTATCTAATACAGTAAGTGAAATATTATGCCCATTATTTTAATCAATACATTACACCCCCATTACACTATTAGCTTTCCTACACAGAACACAGCTACAGTTTCTGCCTTGTTTTCATCATATCACCCTATTGTCTCATACCTTAGTAAGACCTCTCCTGCAGGCACTGATAAGAGGAGTGGAGCCCTGTGAATCATGAGGCAGGTCAATTTCTTCCCAAGCGTAGAGTCCCTGCTCCAGCCCCAGAACCACAGCCTCAAGCTCTTCCTTCAACAGCTGCTCCACAAATCTGCTTCTTTCATGTTTACTCATGCTCCAGTGTTCTGGCAAATGCACAAACAGACAATTAGCTGTAGTTCTGGTTCACTAACTGTAATGAATATCTCCTTCAATATTCACAACATGCACAAGAACTGCTTTGTTGCCCCCATGTGGTTATGTTTATGATGAAGGCAATGCATAATCTCAGTATTATTTAAGTTCAAAGTCATTTTAAGTATTTTTCATCTTAAATCAATTGTAAATGCTTGCTTTTGAAGCTATTTATTAGCACATTTCCCCTAAAGCAACTTCCTGTATAATTTAATAAACAGTAATAAACAGAAATTAATAAATGGCCATGTAATTATTGCATAAGAACACAGAAGCTCTTATAAGCCAATAAGCGCAATTCATAATGCATACATCATAGAACTTCCCAAGAAAAACATATCTGATGTTAAACAATAGTTACTAAATAAGAGAATGAAAAGTGTTTTCTGTTGCTTACATTTAAACAAGCAAGACTCACCTGTGTCGGCAATTTGTTACTTCACTGGACAGAAATGTTTGAGTTAAACGAAGTTAAATTCGTTCTTGTGTTTACGTCCTTGTCTTTGAAGGGCCAGTCCTTTGTCTTCATTGCGCATTTGCCTGAAGCAGCTTTGAGTTTACAGCCTGTTGCCAAGGAGACTCCAGCTTTGGCATGAAAACAATGAACTCACCGTGAGACCTTTGTTTTGATTTCAAAGGGGAAGTGCGCAGAAATGTATATATTAGCATTTGCGGTTGGTTGTTATGATAATAAAATTATATAATTATACAAAAGGAATGGACGAATTTTAAATCTGTCATACCTATTCTCTTATGCCAATATTTTACACATACACCACAAACCTCACATCCAGGTCAGCATATACGTTGTCTCTTGTTGCCTCTTGCATTTGCGGTGAGCAGAAGCTGTCCTGGGAGTCATTCTGTGGGAGATTCAGTTGCACTGATTGACCTTCACTGGGACCAGCGGCCTTCAACAGGCAGAATTACACAGCTGTATTCTACTGCATTACAGGATTACTGTAATGATCCACTTAATTGATCATGGTCTAATTGAATCTTTGCTATACCTTTTACAGTACTTACTGGAACTCCATACAAGTTTAGAGTTAGCTGTAGCATTTTAGACGTTATCACAAATAATAGAAGACTTGAACAAGCACGCAGAAGAATTCCGCGACCTCTAGTGTTCACTGCGGAAAGTACTGTTGATGTTGTAATAAGCTTTGCTTTTATTAAAAATCCTTGAGAAAAAGAAGTTAAGCATTAAATTATCAAATTTCTAAACGTGTGTGTGTGTGTGTGTGTGTGTGTGTGTGATATGCAGGCTATAAAATAGACAATAGGCTAAATAATAGAAAATCAATTAAATAAAAAAGCAACTGAAAAAATGAAATTCATTTATTAACTTTATAATCACACAATTGATAAGTTAAATATTTGATTACCAAATTGGTGGTGTTTTTATTATCCGTTCAAATACGTTTCGACATTGCATAACTGATTGTTCAGTTGATTTTTCCATTAAAAAAAAGAAAGAAAATTAAAGAAAAGAAAAGAAAAGTCTACATCAAATAAATTATATTTTCCAAAAGTGCTATTGATTTCTTTATTTGTGGAACTTCGTAATTTACTAAATTGTTCCAGTCCCTGTTGCAGTCAGGGGCAGCTCTGCTGAGAGGCGCTGTTGGACAGCAGAAGCGCGTGCGGAAGGAGCGGCCGCCGTCAGTCAGAGCGCGTGGAGCTGCGGAAGGTGGAACTGTCCGGTCCTGATGCTCTTCAAAGGTGCACTCGGCTTTAGCTCCTAACAGCTGCCGCCAACGACAACAAAATTACACTCATTTTAAATGATTATGTGATATGTTGCGTGCTATTTAAAACGGTGCCCAGGAGTTTATTTTGTCTGGGGTTGTTTTCAGTTTCAAAGCTTCTTTCGCCTAACCAATGGGAACGGACCGTACGGGCTGAACGGCTGGCAAGCGTCGAGACATTTTGATTGTTTGATTGATGCATTCGTCTGCAGACTGCGGGGTGGACGACCAGATCTGCTGACCGGAGAGAAAGTTTCCTTGGATAAAATCATACACGATGGTGGATGCGGCTGAATGTTGTGTGAAGGTGATGTGCCGATTCAGGCCACTTAACGAATCGGAAATCACTAGAGGTGACAAATACATACCGAAATTCAAAGAAGACACCGTGGTGATATCGGTAAGATGTCTTCAGAGTCTACAGATGTTATCAGTGCAGACGAAAAGTCCCTAAATCTTTTTCTCACGTTCGCGTTTTCTTTCTTTGTTCAGGAGGTTGCTATATATAATGTAACTTGAGATAAATGTAGGTCTATTACTCTAACTTGACTCATTAATGTGATAATTTCTTATCTGTCTTATTCTTATCGAATGGTTCTTTCATATTATAAAGGTTAATCCTGAATTAAGTCTTAGACAGCCCAAATTTTCATTTGAAAAGCAGATCCTCTTTTCATTTGAAAAATGTGTTTGTTATTTTATCAAGAATCACTCCACACAATGATGTATGGAATATGCTTTCTTTTGTTTTACTTCAGCGAATTTTTTTTTATTTTGTATTTTTAATTACATTCATTATAGACTTGGCTACGTAAAGCTATTGAACATTCTCCTTATGGTCCAGTAAACAGATACAGGACACACGATGACCCTAAATTGCTACGTGTTGTCCAAATAGTTGGTAATTTGCCACAATGGAACTGGCCATTAAATAACCTATTATAGGCTTTTCAGCAAAAAAAAAAAAAAAAAAACTGTAGAAATGTTATGAAACACACACAAAATTAAAAAAAAGTGAAAGGTAATGTAAAATGTCAAAACGTTGTAGACATATATAAATTTTAATTGATAAATTGCACAAATGTACATCATATAAAACACATGTGGAATGAAAAACATTGTCCATCTTTTCATTTAAAATCTATCTTCTTTATATTGTTGACCCCAACCTGAATGTACTTGGTGTTAATTTGGTACTCAGTAGATATAACAATGATATTTTAGTTTTAGACATTTTAGTTTGGAGGATAGAATTTATAAAAAAATATATATTATTATACTACTTGTGACAAATTTCCCACGTTAACCTTTGAGAATTTTATTGTTCTCAGTATTTCATCAGTATTTCACTGTCTCGCCATAATAACTTTGTTTACTTTAATATTATATTTTTCTGAATGACCACCATTTGTGCCAGGTATTTTAAAGAATTTAGAAATTAGAATGGCAAGTTACCTGTATTTTAGTAGTGGGATCAAATTAAAGAGCATCTGATATCTGGAATGAGAGTCTGAGTGACTGTGTGTGTGTGTGTGTGTGTGGGTGGGTGGGTGTGGGTGTGGGTGAGTGATGTGCTATAAATAAGCTGGACTGTCAACACAGTAAGATACTGATTGTTTTTATGTTTTACACTAAGTAAACCTCCAGAAATCCCTTGTGCATGCACAATAGCCCATATTATCTGACCCATTGAGATGGTAATCGGCATTACCATGCCTAATCTGCACACAAAATCGAGTGTAGCAGGTATTAGACTTCTGCTTCTAATGTAAATTATCTTTAATGGTACCCTGCAGGCTCTGCACAGCCTGATGTTCCTAATGCCAGATATTTAGCTTTAGGATACAAGTGTGACTGTGAATGGAGATCTGGGTAGTATTTGTACATTTATTGTTTATCTAACTGCATCTCATTAGTGATTGTTGTTTAGTAGTGAACCTATCTGTGTGTTGCTTTAATGCAAAAGATTTTAAACAGTCAATAAAATCAAATTCATTTGTGGGGGAAGGGTGAATTTCACACCTCCTCCCCCAACAGCTCTGATGAAATAAAATAGAAATCTATCTATCTATCTATCTATCTATCATTTGTATTTTATGTATGAAACTAATTCTGAATAAGAACTTGATATGCAAAAGAATATCTGGTCCATTAAGGATCACAAATATCAACTTCCACAGACTCGCAATAAAATTAAATGTACAATTTTTAATCAGCCTCTGAATTATTGATGAAAATGTAAATGGACTGAAAATGTGGAGAGTAATTGAGTGTGTAATTATAAATAGCACAATTTTATAGTTTTAAAAATGATGGTATGCTAGTATTAATATTTGTTATTTAAATATGTTGTTTTTATTTAAATATGTTGTTTTTATTATTTTGTTTAAAAAATTTAGCAACATTGCAACAATTTTGTAAAAAAAAAAATCGGCATCAATTTTGATAAATTGTCTATTTACAGTAAAAGTATTTAAAAATTATATTAAAAAGTATTAAAAAATCTAAATTATTTTATAATGATTTATTTCTTTAATTATTTATTAATTCACAGTTTAACATAAACAACCAGCAGTAAACGGGTTACATGGTTTGTGTTTGAGTATAAGCTGCTGAAATGAATATCCACCACAAAACAATTGCAGGGAGATTTATAGGACAGATTGTGATAGTGAGAAATTACTAATCATTTGCAGCTTGTCAATATCAGGCTGGATTTGATGTTTTGCTTTATATGGGTTGACTGGTCAGCAGTGTTTAATGTGGGTGGTAACGTCCTGTGCACAAAGCCACAAAGAGGCCCAGGGCTCCTGCGAGTAATTTACGTTGCCGTAGTGACAGAGGTGCCATTTGAGGGGCCAGGACTGGCAAGGAACGGATTGGCTGATTTAGTGGAATATTTAAGCCAGTCCACAGAGGATTGGGACAATTGTTGTTTGACACACACAGTCTCATGCATGTTGCTTGTATAAACCCCCTTCTTGCTGTATTTCTTGTCCTCTTTTATATTTTGACACTATCTTCTGCACCACCTTGCAAACAACTCTTACATTTACTGCATTATTAGATTTCAATTATGACAACTCTCGGAAGATTTTAGCATGGTGATGGATATGACAGTGTTAATGTATTTGGTCTTGGCGGAATAGATCTGCTACGCTGCTGCTGAATTGCTGCTGCTGTTGGTTATTTCTGTATTATTGCTGCTGCTGCAAGCAAGTACAGGAACTTGCTACTGCCAATGCATATGGCGATACGGTGCC